AGAGCTGTAAAACATGAGGAATTGCCCATTAGAGCCACGCAAAAGTTCAGGACCCAGGTGAAGGGCACCATACAGAGATAAACACTCATTCCTGCATTCCTATGTCTCCACTTGTAAATAAACTTTCCAAAGCAGGACTCCCCTGCTGTTCTTATCTAAACCTTAGGTCTCTAATCCACTACTAGCCCCTAATTTATGGGAGAGTACATTCGTTGTAACCTGATGCCCTGCACTGCCTTTTAAATATCCTGTGAATCCTTTGTTCAGGGCTCTTTTAGACACAGGTACACGTCTGGGCCCAGTAGCGTAAAATTAAAATCTGAGTTCCCCACTCCTCCGAGTGTCGCTTGGTTTCTCCTCTGACTATATTGCCACAACAAAGTCAGTTAAGTGGCTGATGAAAATACAATAGATGGTCCTGAATTCATGGAGCTGATGCAGTCCTTTGCCAAGTACATTTTCCCATAGACTCCTCATTATAAATGAGAGTAAACTCTCAAATTAGCTTCTTCCTCTTGACTTGGAAATCTGTTTTCAAGAGTTTTTAAAGCACAATTGAAATTTCATAAGTGTGTTATACAAAAGGAAATTGGCTGTCAAACAGGACATAGAAGATGTGGAATAAATTAAAAAATGATATATCTTAGAATTATGACTGGGTATAAGAGAGGATTAGGGAAAATAGGTATTTTCTGCATAAAGAGTCATTAATTTTGGAATCTTTCAAATATCAGTCAATTCTGATACTGCTCTTCTTTGGGATTTTGTGAGTCCTTTGCAGAGAAAAGTAATTAAAGATAACTTTAGCAAATGATACTTAGCTGTCTTTGGTAGAGAAATGTCCAGTTTACAAAAATAAACTCCAAGAAATATTGCAAGGTGCTAAGAGTTGACAAAAATAGAGAAGAGGTGGTAGGGAACAGACTTTATCACTAGCTTCCAGTCGCGAAAAGCATTTAGAAAGAGTGTGGATTAAAAAACGTTGTAGCTGCAGTATAGAATGATACCAGAAATAGTAAGGGGAAATGGCAGTGTAATTGCCTATGGCAGTTAGAAAACCATGTCAAGTTGAAATTGTTAATCTCCCCCAAAATAAAATAATAATTAAATAGTTTAAGTGAATTATTAAGTAATTTAATGAATAATAACCACTAAGAATGGTCAGGGAAGTATAGCTAAATGGGCAAGGCATAAAAGAATTGCAGTACAAAGTAAAATAAAGGAGTGTGTGTTTAAGCCAGGCATCTATAAGTAATGACAGATACAAATAAGTTAATACTGAATTACTTATGCAGGATCATTGATACTGCATTATCCCACATCTGCATTACTTCAGTGACTCCTAATTCCAAGGATTCTACTTCACCTTATACTTCCCCTTTTTGCATGGACTGCCCTTTGTCTTCATTCTTCATCTGGTTAACTTCTAGATGTCAGGCAGATGCAGTTCAGCCTTCTTCCTTCTGCCTCTTTGTGCATGTTGTTATCCTTCTGTGCCCCACGTGCACATCCACTTAACTCTTCAAAATATGTGTGTGGATCTTGAGGGAAATTTTCACTAAAGAATGAAAGTAATGCGATTTGAATTTCATTCTCTGCCTTGAGTTGTTTCAGACTTCAGATGACAAGGTAATTCTTTCGTCTCAGGATGGAAATTTTATCTGCCTGCTCTCCAGATTCTGTCCCATTCCATATCTAGTTATTTTCTCTGTACTCTCAAACTTGCTTTTTTTTTCTTTTATTCATATATGCATACAATGTTTGGGTCATTTCTTCCCCCTTATGCCCACCCCCTCCCTTATCCACCCCGTCCCCTCTCTCTCCCCACTACCCCCATGCTACCAGGCAGAAACTATTTTGCCCTTATCTCTAATTTTGTTGAAGAGAGAGTATAAGGAATAATAGGAAGGACCAAGGGTTTTTGCTAGTTGAGATAAGGATAGCTATACAGGGAGTTGACTCGCATTGCTTTCCTGTACATGTGTGTTACCGTCTAAATTAATTCTTCTCGAACTAACCTTTTCTCTAGTTCCTGGTCCCCTTCTCCTTATTGGCCTCTGTCGCTTTAAAGTTTCTGCATTAGTTTCTCTGCATTGAGGGCAACAAATGCTATCTAGTTTTTTGGGTGTCTTACCTATCCTCATATCTCCCTTGTGTGCTCTCGCTTTATCATGTGATCAAAGTCCAATTCCCTTGTGTTTGCCCTTGATCTAATGTCCGCATATGAGGGAGAACATACTTTTTTGGTCTTCTGGGCCAGGCTAACCTCACTCAGAATGATGTTCTCCGGTTCCATTCATTTACTTGCGAATGATAAGATTTCATTCTTCTTCATGGTTACATAAAATTCCATTGTGTATAAATACCACATTTTGTTAATCCATTTGTCAGTAGTGGGGCATCTTGGTTGTTTCCATAACTTGGCTATTGTGAATAGCGCTGCAATAAACATGGGTGTGCAGGTGCCTCTGGAGTAACCTGTGTCACATTCCTTTGGGTATATCCCCAAGAGTGGTATTGCTGGATCAAACGGTAGATCTATGTTTACATTTTTTAAGAAGCCTCCAAATTTTTTTCCAGAGTGGTTGTACTAGTTTGCATTCCCACCAGCAGTGTAAGAGGGTTCCTTTTTGCCCGCATCCTCGCCAACACCTGTTGTTGGTGGTGGTTGCTGATATGGTAACAGGGGGGTGAGGTGAATCTTAGTGTGGTTTTAATTTGGCGTTTCCTTTCCTGGCTAGAGTATGGTGAGCATTTTTTTCATGTGTTTTTGGTCATTTGAATTTTTTTTTTCTTTTGCGGAAGTCTGTTTAGCTCATTTGCCCGTTCTTATTAGTTCATATCTTGGGAGAATTTAGTTTTTTGAGTTCCCTATATATTCTGGTTATCAGTCCTTTGTCTGATGTATAGCTGGCAAATATTTTCTCCCACTCTGTGGGTGGTCTCTTCAGTTTAGAGACCATTTCTTTTGTTGTCTACTCTCAAACTTTCCTACCTTCTATTTGAAACTTCTGTTCCAACTCTTTTTTGGATTAAATTCTTATTTTTATAGTATTGGGAACTTTCTTGAGCAAGGCATTGTTCCATGTAATCGGATGCTGGATGATTGATTGACCTAGGTGCTATTAAGAAGAGGCTAATATGGCATAGTAGGTTAAACTAGATGATTGATTTAGACAAGTAGTTTCTAAACATAGTCATGAATTGGAATCTTATTTTTTTAATGAGGCAGATTTTTGAGCCTTATTCATATACCTTCTTTGTCTGCATTTTTGAAGGCTCAGCTATATGAATAAAAAGATTCTTGGGAGATTCTGTGAAGTCTTCTTGGTCCTGGTTATCAGAGCAGCACTTGGATACTCTTCACTTACTTTCCACTGATACTCTGATATTCTTCCTAACACTGATACGTTACTCCTTTTTTTTTACAGGTTTAGTTTGTATACTTAGTTAATATCAGACTTACATGAAGAATTATGTTTTGCTGGAGATGTAGCTCAGTGGTAGAGCTCTTGCATAGCATGTATGAGGACATGAGTTTGGTCTCCTGTAAAACAAACAAACAAACACACACACACACACACACACACACTTTCAATTCTCTTGATAATTAGCCACCTTCCCATTTTTCCCTGCACATGGATTCCTCTTCTGTAATATTCCTTTACCTAACAGACATTTAGTTAGTACTCTTTGGATTAGGTGCTGTTACCTTTGGAGAAAGCTGTATAAGAGTACATCTTTGAAACCAAGGTGTCCAAGTTTGTACCTGGCTCTCATTTCTTGTGTTTGTAATCTGGTGTAAGTTTGTGGCAAACTCTGTAATAGTACCCTCATTTGTAAAATGTGGGTACTAATTTCAGAAGTTGACATTTATATTTTCTAAGATACTTTTTATGATTTAAGTCCTTTTTGGGCTGGTAGAGTGACTCAGGTGGTAGAGTGCCTGCTTAGCAAGTGTGAGGTATGAGTTCAAACCCCAGTACTGCCAAAAAAAAAAAAAAAAAGATCCTTTTTCTTGTAATCTAAACCATCCAAAAAGATAAATTTACCAGTTAAGATGAAGTTTAGCTAATCATGTTAAAAAACAAATAGGCAACGTGGTTATTGCTCTCTTTCATTAAAGAAATTAAGAAATAGTCCAGGATTGAAGATGCCATGATTATGAAAAACCCAAGCTTCACTTGTCTTGCTCTTCTGTCATCCTTGCTGTTTCATTTCAGTATGGCTGCTGATATTCCAGCAAACAAGTTGTAATCTAGATAGCAGGAAAGAGGAGAAGAGATTGTTTTCCCTTCTGGGAAGACTTCTCCCAATGTTGCATACAAAATGTGTGTATAATTTCACTGGCCAGAACTTAGTTATGTGGCAAAGGAGTTTAGTTTGTAAGTGTCTTTTTTCTGGCTGCTATGTACCTAACTAGGAATGAAAGGTGTATTACTTAGAATTTTGGCATCTGCTCTGCTAAATACCAATATGAATTTACATGGCTCTGATTGAGTTCATTTAAGTTATTATATGTACTCAAAAGAATCTGAACCCCAGTAAACGTTGTTCTTTATCAGGAAGATTTCACATCAAAGGCTTCATCAATTCATTTGGTATAAGAATGTGCCTAGGAACTTTTGTTAAGCAAAACATGGTCATCTCTTCATTTATAATTCATCAAATATTTTTGTATGAAAATATCAACTTTTCAGTAGACCTTATTTATCAGTTGTCTTTTCTAACTGAATATTCTTTTTTGCTTGTAAGGGAGGTGAAAATGTAACAGTGAAGGACAGCTGTCTCTGATCACCTAGTCTGTGGAGACTCCAATAAACATTAGCTGCTTTAATGTTACTGTAAATATTTGACTAGATTATCCCCCAAACCCTTTACCATTGAAAAATTATCTGGATTCCAGTTTTCAATTATTTTAGTAGTGAATGGCATCTCATAATTTCTGGGTTTTTTTGCTTTGTTTTTAAATATGAACCTTTTATTGTTTAAAATTCTAGTACTCAATTTTGAACCATATGGACTCTCCTTTTCTTCATCTGGCTTCACTGGACGACAGTCTCCTGCTGGCATTTCTCTTGGTTCAGATATATCTGGGAATAGTGCTGAGACAGGACTAAAGGAGTAAGTTCCTTTCTTTTTTTTTTTTTGCAATACTGGGAGTTGAACTCAGTGCATTGTGCTTGCTAAACAGGCACTCTAGCACTTGAGCCATGCTGCCAGCCCAGTTCCTTTCTTATTAAAGTTGAGAATTTGGGAGTGTTTAAATGTCTTTTAACATTCCATTTGGTTTTTGCTTCATATTTGTCTCATTGAGATCTTTGTTTATTTTACAGCTTTGAAGAAGTTTATGGTTTCAGTGGTCTTCAATTAATTCAAAAGGAGAGGCATATTTGTGACAATGTGTTTCAGTCTAATAGGTTTCAAAGGTTCCTAAAAGCTAAATTCTGTATGGACTCTTTCCAGTTGTTTTGTTTATTGCTTTCAAGTATTGATACTGTGTATTGATACTTGTAAGAGCTTGTTTACCTTCCAAGACAGGAAAAGATGGGTGTAAACTTTACACATTGTGGTAATATGTGCGTTATTGCTATTGCTACATACTGTAAATTTTAAGA